TTTCTGCTCTACATAGGGTGTCTTCCATTTGTTGGAAAGACCTGCTAGCACAATTCAGTGAGGGTGTTTCCAGACGACCTGTTTAGTGGGAATTCACCTTGATTTGTTTGCAGGAAGATTTGACTACACTGGCTTTTTAATGAGCATTTATTCTGATTGTTTGCACTTTGCAGGGAAGTCAAGAGGTCAAAGCAAGTGTTGTGTCGCATGTTCTAGTGCATCTTCCAGTCACTTTCCTTGTTGCAAAAAGCCCAATCCTTTGGGGGAAGCAGATTTGTTGTGCGTGACCTCCCAATCAACTGTACAGTTTGAATTTGCCCGTCTTGTCACTAAAACCCACCCTGAAAATAGTGACAGTCTTGGAGAGAGAATAATTATTTATTCCAATATTGAAATGAAGATTCGTGCTAAGCTGGAGAGGAAATTAGTACTCTCAAGACAAAGACTAGGTCACAGAAATACAGTAGAAAGAAAGAAAGAAAGAAAGGAAGGAAGGTGAGGAACCGGTCTGGCAAGTGGCTGAGCCAAAGCCTAGTTTCACTAATCCTTCAGAAGGAAATAATAGATTCAAAAGGACAATAGTCCAAGCAGCCTAGCAAGAGCTGGAAGCCTTAACTCTTTACTGGCAAAGAGGAGCAGAAAAATGGATGTAAAGTGAAATGTCCACTCCACTAGCAGCAACTTAGCCCAAGAATATCTACCAGTCAGGAGGACCAAACCCATGAAAAGAGAGTTTTTTAAGAGCTATTTTATTTATCTATTGCATTTATAGCCTGCCTTTCCTTCAAGGTGCCCAAGGTTGTATACATGCATCACCCTATCCCTATTTTACATCTACAGCAACCCTGTAAGGCATGGGTAGGCAAACTAAGGCCCAGGGGCCAGATCCGGCCCAATAGCCTTCTAAATCCGGCCCGCGAACCGGGAATCAACGAGTTGTTACATGAGGGACGCGGATGGCGCTGTGGGTTAAACCACAGAGCTTAGGACTTGCCCGGTCCCAGCTCCTGCCCACCTAGCAGTTCAAAAGCACGTCGAAATGCAAGTAGATAAATAGGTACTGCTCCGGCGGGAAGGTAAACGCCGTTTCCGTGCGCTGCTCTGGTTCGCCAGAAGCAGCTTAGTCATGCTGACCTGGAAGCTGTACGCCGTCTCCCTCGGCCAATAAAGCGAGATTAGTGCCGCAACCCCAGAGTCGGCCACGACTGGACCTAACGGTCAGGGGTCCCTTTACCTTTACATGAGTAGAATGTGTCCTTTTATTTAAAATGCATCTCTGGGTTATTTGTGAGACCAGCCTGGTGTTTTTACATGAGTAGAATGTGTGCCTTCATTTAAAATGCATTTCTGGCTTATTTGTGGGAATAGGAAATTGTTCTTTCTTTGCCCTCAAAAAATATAGTCGTCCCCTCACAAGGTCTGAGGGACAGTGGATCGGCCCCCTGCTGAAAAAGTTTGCTGACCCCTGCTGTAAGGTATAGTAGATCAGGCTAAGAGATCCTGAAGTCACCTAGTGAGCCTTATGGCCGATTTGAACCCTGCTATGCTTGTCCTAGTCTGACATTCCTAACCACTACATCTCCATGATTCTCTCAACCCTCCACTACCTTTGTTTTATTTCTAACTGGTGATAGGAAAGGACTTGAGCCTGTTTGGAAGTAATACCCTCCAGTCTGCATCTGATCTCTCTCCCTTTTGGGCTGGCTGGTGGGTCTTCCACGGTACACCATAAAGTCACAGAGTCTCAGGTTTACAGGATGGAGACAAAACGATACAAAATCGACCACAAATGTCCCAAACACAATCTGATTGCCAAAATCAGTCCTTGGCATTCTGGAGAGCCCTGGATCAAATTACTCCAAGGCCACATGCAGTGTTTTTTTCAGGGGGACGGGACGCAGGGGGACGCATACCCCTAAACATTTTGTGAATCTTAAGTTTGGCCTCATTGAGGGGCAGTATTTCAATGAGAGTCAGAAAATGAGAGTAAACAATTTTTTAAGGAAAAAAAGCACTGGCCATGTGTGTCTGTGTGATGGTGGAAAGAACATTAACTTTGCCTGAAGCCCTTGTGACCCTAAGGAACGCATTTGCCATGAGAAATGAATGAGGTGAGAGTCATTGACAGCTGTCAATATTCTGTGCTGTCAAGAAGATGCTGGAATTCTATGCCAATTTGCAACCAGAAATGCTGAATTAGACAGGGTATATCATGCGAGTGTGTATGTGCGTGCACATAATTTATTCTGGTGCTGGAAGTCATGGGGAGAGGTTGCTGAGAGCATGGGGGGTGACCCCCCCCCCAACCACTAGCAATCCCATGAATATTTTTGGAAATGTACATCAAGATGAGCCCTGGGCCAGGCAGATGTTCTCTCTGTGTTGGGGAGACCACTGGGGAGGGCCATTGTCTTCCCTACAATCAAAAGTTGATGGTACGGTTTTTAGAGGCTTAGTGGATCTGATTCTTTTAATCCCTTTATGATACGCGTTTGGTGTAGTTAAGTAATTTTAGGCTCTGGACTAAGTGATCTTTCTCTCTCTCCCCTACACCCCCACACAATTCTTTTGAAACTGAAGTACAGTGGTACCTTGGGTTAAGTACTTAATTCATTCCGGAGGTCCGTTCTTAACCTGAAACTTCTTAACCTGAAGCACCACTTTAGCTAATGGGGCCTCCCGCTGCCGCCGTGCTGCCGGAGCACGATTTCTGTTCTCATCCTGAAGCAAAGTTCTTAATCTGAGGTACTATTTCTGGGTTAGCGGAGTCTGTAACCTGAAGTGACTGTAACCTGAAGTGTATGTAACCCGAGGTACCACTGTATATTGTTTTGCTTACTTTGAAATGTATTAAGCCAGCCCTGCTTCATTTGTGGGTCCTCCTTCTCATCATCATCAGGAGTGGGGCCCTGGAAGATATGTTTTGTTTGAGCAAGGCTACACAGATCTGTAATTTTCTGACGCATATTTGCGTTTAAATTCTGTTGATTTTTTATCTTATATTTTTGATCGTCTTAGGGTGCTTCCAGATGACTTTTTTAACTGAGCATTCATCCCGATCTGTTTGCCAGGGAGATTACACGATGCCGGCTGTTTAATTCGCTCTGATTTAATTGCAGGGAGGTTAGATGACATTGTGTCAAATGAAGTGTTAATCTCACACTTTCCAGTGCATTTTCCAGTCACTTTCCTTATCGCAAAAAAGCCTTATCTTTTGGGGTGGGGGAGCAGGGAGGGGAATGGATTTGTTGCACAGGAGCTCCCAATCATTTCCAATTGCACAACTTGAATTTCCCAGTGTGCTCTTGAATTGCAGCTGAAAACAGTGAGTCTGGAAGTGCCTTCCTTATGCCTACTTGTTTTTGAAGTTTGTTGATTTTTTTATTATTATAAAAATTATATTGTGCTATTTTATGTAAACTGATAAAAGAGATTATTATTATTATTACATGGCCTCTACATTTTGTTAGATACATATAATAAATTTAAAAATAATGAAGTCCTCCCCTAACAGTACAACTGATATCTATATTTATCTAATATAAATATATATTATATACATCGAAGACATTATATAAATAATAGTTAAGGAGGATTCAAGTTTTGGAAACATGTCATCATTGCTGGTATGGGTAAGCAGGTTTGTTGCCCTAAAAACAAAACAAAAAAGTGTTAAGTTGTGGGTGAACATATCAGACAACACAGAGATTCTTCAAACAGCTCTTGTTTATTCACAGGCCAGAACAGAACAGAACTGAAGGGTTCAGCCAGCCTGCTTATATAGAGCTCCACTACAACGCAACAGTAACCACTTTCTGTAACTATCCAATCACTGAACGTCACTTTCAATCCCTTATTTGCAAATGTGGACCTGAGTGAAAACCATCTACAGTATCCCCCTGCTGGCCCAGGGTGAGAACTTCAGTACATAACAAAAAACCCTTCAGCTTGCATTGTCTTATCTCACAGAGGCAAAGGGATGAATTGGGGAATGTGGTTCTTTGCCATTCCGGGGTGCCTCTGGTTGGGGACGTCGTCTGGAGGCCAAGAGATGTGGTCTTGAAAGCAATGTAGTAACATGGTGATATCACCCCTCCAGTCTTATAAATGCTGTTGCCTGCTGCAATGCCCTGCGGCCTTTTACATAGGCAAATCAGGTTGGTTTCCATTGAAGAAAAGGAACAGACACAAACAAACCTGACATTGAAAATGGAAAGGGCAGAAATACCTGTGGCAGAGGATTCCAATCTTCCTAGACATTCTACATTTACTCTGGCCAAATTCCACAGTTTTTAATGTTTGGTGCTGTACTGTGTTTTTAATATTCAGTTAGAAGCCACCCAGAGTGGCTGGGGAAACCCAGCCAGATGGGCGGGGTAATAATAATAATAATAATAATAATAATAATAATAATAATAATAAAATAAATAACCAGTGTCTCTTGGGTGCAGTTTTTTTCAGTGTTGTTGGTTCACACATTTGGCTGCCAGCAATCAAGTGTCAATATATAAAATTCACAGAATCACAGATTTGTAGAGTTGGAAGAGACCACGGGGGGGGGATCTATTTCAACCCCTACAATGAAGGAATCTTTTCACCCAACGTGATACTCAAACCCATGACCCTGAAATTAAGAGTCTCGTGCTCTACCAACTGAACTATCCCTCAGATGTATATGCACAGGTGAAACAATCCTAATAGCTTGGGCACTGTGTCATTAATAAGTAGGGATGGAGAACCTGCAACTCTCAAGATGTTGCTGAACTCCAGCTAGTACGGCCAAAGTCAGGGATAATGGGAGCTGTAAGTCTGACAACACTTGGAAGAACATTGGTTCCTCATCCCTGTGAATGAAGATACTCACAGGTGGTTCCCTTGCTGCAAAATATAATTGTTAGGCACTCCTTGATGTTCCAGCCAACAACGTCTCCATTTTACACCCCAGTTATCAGGGTGTGATCTTTGCAAACCCAGTGCCTTACATTCCACTGCATCTCAGCCCCTGTATGTATATTATCTATATTGCCTCTGGCCTTTTCAGTCAACAGCATACACCTGAGGAAGTAAGGTGTTTACCTATGAAAGTCTTGCCCCAATAAACTAATCTCTAAAGTGCCACAGGCCTCGTCCTTCTCTCTCTCTCTCTCTCTCTCTCTCTCTCTCCTCTTCTTCTTCTTCTCTGCAACAGGCTATCATAATTTCCATTCTGGAATTGAAAGGCCCTGGTGCTCCCCTGGTCTCCTCAGGTGACATCAACAAAGCGGCAGCAAAATGTCTTAGCTTAGATTTCTCTCGTCATGAATATTCAGAACTCTCTCAGCTCGGCCTCTCTGTTAGTTCCTGTTTACTTTAGACAGGAGTGGCTGAGTCTCCGGTTAACCTTGACATAGAGAGAGAGGGAGAGAGAGAAAGGGGCGCAGCACGAACAGGTATGTTGCACCTCAGCACACCTGAGATGTGAGAGCCACTTTGCTACTGACTGCCGGAGCCAAGGCTGCTTGTTTTGCCACAGAGACCTGCCTCACTGTCAGGACCTCGTCTCATCCCTTCTTCATGTTGGTCTTTTCCCATAACGGCTGAACTTGCTACTCTGTGAGAGACGAAGTTCAGAAGTCCAAGAGAGCAGGTATGTTTGTAATGGCACTGGGGGGTGGGGGTGAAGGCAGAGGGAAACTTGAACAGCTCGCTGGGACATTGCGCCTCCACAAATGTTTAATTGATTGCCGCAACAGATGGAAAACCAGTGTACTGCAGTGGACTGAGTGCCGAGTCTTGATCTGGGAGGCACAGGTTTCTCATCATTGCTAGCTCCTCAACTTCGCTGGGTGGTATTGGAGGATACAGTTTTTTCCAGCCTAATCTACTATGCAGGGTTGTTGTAAAGAAAGCCTGAGATAAGGACAACATAACACCTGTATCTTGCCTTTGAGATAAGATGGGGAAACAAAATATATGACAAAAATGTACACACACAAACATGCAACATTAAACACTACTCATCACCATGTACATAATTTAAACATAACAGCAAATCGCCTATGATTTAATTAATTTCACATCTAGAAACACTTCTTAGCATTTCCATCTTTCTAAAAGTTCATCTGCACACTGGCCATTGACTCCTTTCCCCATGCTGCTTTTATATACTAATTTCACAACGACACGATGTTTATCCCTGTTCCTTTAAACTCTTGGGGGGGGAAATAAAAAATCACTCACAATAGCTTTCAGAAGAGGAACCGACAATTTAATAATCTACAATGCAAGGTTGTTGTGAGGGTGGGACCTTTAAGGTGCGTTTGAGATAAAATGGGAAAACAAAAATCAACTACGTAATGGCCTTTTGAATATATTCCACATCAGCAAACCCGGATTAACCCCTGAAGGTACACTTGATAGGAAGGTACTGTACGGCCAATCCTGACCCCTTAATATGTATATCAGATGTGCTGGCATACACAATTCCCCTCCCCACTTGTATTCACTCTATGCTTTGCAGTATATTTATCTTAGGTATACACCTTTAAAATGTGAAGAGGTAAATGGCCCTAAGATCCTTCCCATGCAGTGCTTTTTTGGGGGGGGGAGGGTTGCACATTAAAAGCACAGTTGCTGCCCATATGATTTGTTACCCAGGATCCAGATGTCCTCCCTCATGGTAGTGCTTTTGTGACAGAAATAGCACATTTCTTCACCATTCAAAGTGCCCTCTTTACTGGGGAAAACACAATTTCCCCTACAGCTCATGCATCGCTTGCTACTGCAACAATTGTATGAGTCCTGCAAGGTCCAATAGGTTATTGTTACCTGTGTCACGAATGGCAATGAGCACTTCAGCTGCTTCTCCCCTGTCCCCAAATGCCTGTACTAATTTGTGAATGTTTTTAGAAAAACACTGGCTGGATCTAGACACATGAAAGAAGCATTGCAGTTAAACACGTTGCAAACTTTGTATGAGAAATCGGGTTAGCAAAAACGGGACTCCACAGAGCAATCTAGTGTCACAGTGTTAGAATGCTTAACAATGCGTATAAAGCACTTTTTCATTGCCAATGTAGCTTAGTCTACTGTTTCATGTGGGGTTTTTGTTTTTTTAATGTATGCAATGCCTTTAAAGTTCTCTTATAAACCTTTGGCACAATAGTATACTGTACAAGCAAAAGGAAAGCTGGCGTTTCTTATGCCTGCAAGTTTTTATTTTATTTTATTACAATATTGTCCACGTCAAAACACCCCTCCCTCGTTTTAATTCAGAGTTACTGTTCCCATGAGATTTTTTTTATGTTCTGGGTTTTCCACAGAAATCACAAGGTTCTCTCCCCCCTCCTGTCATTATATCTTCACAACAACCCTGCAAAGTAGGTTAGGCAGAGATATTGTGACAGTCCTAAGATCATCCAGTGAGCTTCATGGCTGAATGAGAATTTGAAGCCTGGTCTCTCCAGGTCCTAGTCCAAGCACTCTAACCACTGCACCATGTTGGCTCTCGTTGATGGGGTTGGCATTTTGATGCAGACGACACAGCGAAAGACGTACGTGTCTGTGCAGCACCAAGCCCACAATAAACCAACACGTGGAAATACCCAAAGGGCAGCTCCAAGGCTGTCTAACTGTCAAACCTCTCCTTAGCAAGAAATCGTAGGAACTGTATTATTGCAAGAAATACTAGGGCTTATAAACAGCAAATTCATGCCATATGGCATGCATAAAACTACAATTTGCATACTACAGGGAAGGTGAAGGCAGCTATGATGCGAAACCCATTTCAAACAAGTTTCGAGCCACTTTGAAATTTGTAATGTAAATCTGCCTGAAGGCAGGTGGTGTGTGCAAAAGAAGGACCCCTCCCACCCACTCCTATGCAGCAAGCCATTTCTGGGAGAGCTGGGGGTGTGTGTGGAGGGGATGCTTGACCCTCCAGCCCAGCCTTCTCCAGCCTGATGCCTTCTAAATGTTGTTTGACTCCAAATCCCAGGAGCCCCATTCAGCATGTCCAAGGATGATGGGAGCTTTAGTCCAGCAACTTTTGGAGGGTACCTGGTTGAAAAAACCTGCGCTAGCCCCTTTCTCCTCTTCTGCTCACCAGAGATCGTCCACATCAGAGCAAAATGTGGATTTGCACCAACCTGTCCCCCCATTAATTTAGAGGTATTCACATTATGTCTTCCCCATTCCTGCGTTGCCCTGCACCTTGCTCCCTTTAAATGGGAGGTTTTTCAATCCTTGGAAAGTCCAAAAAGGCTGGGATCGAAAAACCCCGCATTTACAGGCGGAAAGGTTAGGGACAGCTCTTCGATGGGGAAGAGGCCATTTTCCAAAGTGGACAAGCCATAAGCTCTTCAGGCACACCTGCATGGGAAAGTCTGTGGTTGGTGTTTCAACAGGGAAGCATTTCCCAGATTACCTCAGATATAGCTGCAGAAAACCTTATGCCAATGTGACGTAGTGGAACATGTGGACATTGTTGGGGCTTACTTTGAGAAAGTAGGAAGAGCATAACTTTTCCAGCATGGTGGATCAGCGTGCGTTTACATGTGTGAAGAGCATCGTGGGCTGACGAGAGTGTCTGTAGTGGTAACAGAGGTCAGAGATGCCACAAAAATGGCACATCCATTAGAACTGTCTCCCTTCAAGAGCCCTGTCTGCTTTCAAGGTAGAGCGAGGTAGTAGCAGCCATATTAGAAAGCATTGGGTACTCGTATAAGGATTGTTCAGGAGGCCTGTGCTTGATCTCAAAACCTAAAGAAAACTTAAGTACCTCCTTGGGCTGTCTTGGGCAAGATCAAGTGACCAACAAACGAATAAATAATAACATTAATGATTTCAAGCAAACGATGGTTGGTCACTCACTCCTGCAGACACTTTAAATACTGGGTGTTTGGACTCACACCTTCTGACATGCCTGGGGGAAAACCGGGATGCAAGTCTTTGGGGGCTGTACTCCTGGGCGAGTCCTGTGACTTGCATGAGAGCATGGCATCCAAAAGCACATGTCTTTCAGGGCTGTGTTCTTGCACAAGCCAAAATGGGATATCCTAGGAGCCCATCAGGAGCCAATCAGAAGCTGGGATGGCTTCTGTAATTTCTGAGATGTCTCGGGAGAGTTGAGGGGTGTGCATCACTGTCTTTCAACTTTCTAGATTCAGAAACGTTCTAGAACCACTTCCGTATGAATATGTCTACTGAGAAAGAGCTGCATGGAAACATTATGTGCCACAGAGAATTCTGGGAGGTGTTCTATGTCTAAGGATGTTTCCAGATTGTCACTGTTTTTTGAATGGGATTCAATCACATATTGGTAAACTCAGGTTGTGCAGTTATAGTTGATTTGGAGGTTTTGCACAACAAACCTCCTTGCGTTGGTGCAGTGTCATCTAAACTCATCACAAACAAATCAGAATGAATGCTCATCAAGTAGCCACTGCTGTCGAATCTCTCTGCAAACAAATCAGGATGAATGCTCAGTAAACAGATCATCTGGAAGTGCTCTCAGTTCAGGCAGAGTGCTTGTCAGGGTTACTGGGTCCCACTGTTGTTTCACACGAATTGAGACTGCACCCTAGAATAAAGGTAAAGGTACCCCTGCCCGTATGGGCCAGTCGTGTCCGACTCTAGGGTTGTGTGCCCATCTCACTTAAGAGGCCGGGGGCCAGCGCTGTCCGCAGACTCTTCCGGGTCACGTGGCCAGCGTGACAAGCTGCATCTGGCGAGCCAGCGCAGCACACGGAAATGCCGTTTACCTTCCCGCTAGTAAGCGGTCCCTATTTATCTACTTGCACCCGGGGGTGCTTTCGAACTGCTAGGTTGGCAGGCGCTGGGACCGAGCAACGGAAGTGCACCTCGCCGCGGGGATTCGAACCGCTGACCTGACGATCGGCAAGTCCTAGGCGCTGAGGTTTTTCCCACAGTGCCACCCGCGTCCCTAGAATAGGGGGTTCCCAAAGTGTAGCTCACAGTCCACCATAATTCTACAGCATCTAGCACAGCACCTTATAATTACTAAACAACAGACAGAAAAATCATTAAATGGTTCACCAACACCCTCAACCATTTTCTCAAGGCCCGGAGCATTGGGGAGATTTGTGAACCACTGCGTTAGAATAACTCCATACTCCCAGTTATCTATGCTTTGCTGGGGAAATGTAACAACAGAGGGAAAGCTGTATTTCAGGTACTGATCAGTTCAGTGTTCCAATTTTCACATCAGTTTGCAAACTTAGTAATAATAATTCATCAGTACTTCAATGCAAATATCTCTTAATACACTGTTCACACATTTTTATTTGCATTTTTGTCTGTTACAGTATACCCATTTGTGAAAAGCATTTTGTGTATTATTTTCATATGTGCATTTATATGCACACTTTACTCTAGTGTGTACATTTTTGTATATGTAACTTGTCTAGAGAACTGCACTACAAAATTCTGAGAGGTACGATTTTTGAAAGATGGCTGTGTTTTGATTTATGTATTGGTTTGGAAGGTCAAATTAGGTAAAATTGCCTTTAAATGTGAGCCAAATAGAATTTCTCCCCCATCCCTACACACACAGACATTACGTGTGTGTGTGTGTGTGTGTGTGTGTGTGTGTGTCTAAGCCCTCATATTTTACCCATCCCTCTCTGAAGTGCTCAGAACAGGTTACATTCTACCCTTGAGCTCATTTTGTTCTCATAGCAACAAAGTTAGGTTCAGGGGGCTGACTCAAGGCTGGGCCTATTATTAGGCAAAGTGAGGTGGCTACCTCAGGCAGCTGGTTTCAGATGTATTGGAAAGGCAGGAAAATGTTAGCTATTTCATTTATTATTATACTGCCAGTAAGGGGGAGAGGCACCTGCGTATTTTTCTGCCTGATCTAGTCACCAGCATGGAGTACCATCACCTCTTTCTTTGTTTTGCAGCCATTTTGTGCTGGCACCCACAGCACTTTTATCAACATATGAGAAGCAGCACCTACTTTTTATTTATTTACCAAGACATTTATGTAGATGGAGAGAGAAGCAGAGGCACCTTTTGTAACTCTGCGCCAGACAACAGAGGTCACATCCACACCATATATTTAAAGCACGTGGCTTCCCTGAAAGACTCCTGGGAGCTGTAATTTGTTAAGTGTGCTAGGAACTGCAACTCTGTGAGGGTAAACGACAGTTCCCAGGATACTTTGTGGGAAGCCATGTATTTTAAACGTTTTATATACATTGTGTGGATATGACCATGTACTGTGTCTTCTTGGGGCAACCCAGGCAGCTGTGTAGCATAGTGTTTGTGGTTCATAACTCACAACTAGACCATAACAGAATCTAGAGTGGGTTAAGGTAAAGGTAAAGGGACCCCTGACCATTAGGTCCAGTCGTGACCGACTCTGGGGTTGCAGCGCTCATCTCGCTTTACTGGCCGAGGGAGCCGGCGTACAGCTTCCGGGTCATGTGGCCAGCATGACTAAGCCGCTTCTGGCAAACCAGAGCAGCACACGGAAACACCGTTTACCTTCCCGCTGGAGCGGTACCTATTTATCTACTTGCACTTTTTGGTGTGCTTTCGAACTGCTAGTTTGGCAGGAGCTGGGACCGAGCAACGGGAGCTCACCCCGTCGTGGGGATTCGAACCGCCGACCTTCTGATCGGCAAGTCCTAGACTCTGTGGTTTAGACCACAGCACCACCCGCGTCCCTTCTAGAGTAGGTTACCACTGTGTTAAACCATTTTCTTTCTTTCTTTCTTTCTTTCTTTCTTTCTTTCTTTCTTTCTTTCTTTCTTTCTAAGAAAATAGATGGCAAGAGAAAACCAGAGTGAGAGAAGATGAGGAAGTGGGTCACAAGGATTAAGATATTAAAGTAAAGGTCAAACCTCGATTTGGACAGGCAGAAGACGAGTTAGAGCACATGCATTGTGTCCTAGGTCCAATGCACAACATCTCTCTCTCTCTCTTTTTTAAAGGAACAGGTTAACAGGTGATGAGGAAGACCTCTACCTGGCTTGTGACTGTAGCTAATATTGGGATAGATGGACAAACCTGGTAAAAGGTAGCTTCCTATCTATCTATGGCAATTAAGCTTTGTGTGGTTGTGCAGCTTAAGTCACATAGTAGTTGCAGTCCTAGCACAAGAGTGTGGGACTTGCAGTCTTCCAGATGTTGTTGAACTTCAACTCATCAGACCCAGCCAACAACATCTGGAGAGCTACATGTTCCCCACCCCTGGCTCCGCTCCCCCTTTGTTCCCACCTGAGGACACCCTGCCCCTCAGAGACAGTGTGCCACACAGGGCTGGGCCTCAGCGACTCCAGCCTATCCTCCTCTTTGCCCGCTCTCCAGCAGCCGCTATGAGCTGCCCAATGGAGGAGGCTGGCTGTTGCAGCCATGGATAGGCCATGGATAGGCAACTCCCCTCGCAGCTGCTGAAGCCACGCCCACCATTGCTCAGGATAAGCGCCAGTTCATTCCCCTCCCCTAGTTCAGCACGGCGGAACTGGTGCAGGAAATAAGGACATTCTGGGATCAATTCAGAAGCCAGGATGGCTTTCATTATTCTGGGACTGTCCCTGGAAAATTGGGACACTTGGAGGGTATGAGACTGAGCAGGCACACAGCTGTCCCTTAGTCTTCACCATGGCAAGATGTACAGTGGTACCTCAGGTTACATATGCTTCAGGTTACATACTCCACTAACCGAGAAATAGTGCTTCAGGTTAAGAACTTTGCTTCAGGTTGAGAACAGAAATCGTGCTTCGGCGGTGCGGCAGCAGCAGGAGGCCCCATTAGCTAAGGTAGTGCTTCAGGTTAAGAATAGTTTCAGGTTAAGTACGGACCTCCGGAACGAATTAAGTACTTAACCCGAGGTACCACTGTACTGTATTTCCAGTCAAACAACAGTTATTCTTTCTAAATTTGCACCTATGGATATAAATTAGCACAAAGTAAATTGCATGCAGCTGTATGCTTTTTTTTATTTAAGTAATGGGTTTCCTCCTTTTTAGTAATGTTTAAGTGCCCATTCTGCTGAGACGTGGGTGGCACTGTGGTCTAAACCACTGAGCCTAGGGCTTGCTGATCAGAAGGTCGGCGGTTCGAATCCCCACAACGGGGTGAGCTCCCATTGCTCGGTCCCTGCTCCTGCCCACCTAGCAGTTCGAAAGCACGTCAAAGTGCAAGTAGATAAATAGGTACCGCTCCGGCGGGAAGGTAAACGACGTTTCTGTGCGCTGCTCTGGTTTCGCCAAAAGTGGCTTAGTCATGCTGGCCACATGACCCGGAAGCTGTCTGCGGACAAACGCCTGCTCCCTCGGCCTATAGAGCAAGATGAGCGTGCAACCCCAGTCGTCCATGACTGGACCTAACGGTCAGCATAGCTGTCAAGCGTCCTTTATTTGAAGGGACAGTCCCTTATTCCAGCGCCATGTCCTGCTGCTGTCCCTTATTGATGGATGTCCTTAAATGTCCCTTAAATGATGTCCCTTAAATTTCAAAGGAAGCAGCTCCTCTCCCTCCCTCCCTGCCGGCCAGGGAGGAGGGAGGCTCCAACTGTGTTGCTTGGCTGTGTTGCTCACCCAACAAGGAGTCTAAGAACAACTGGGGGGTCGAGCTTGGATGCCTTGTGCCGATCAAATCGGCCCCAGTGTTGCCTGGGGACTCGCCTTTGCTCAGCGCTTCCCAGCGGAGAGGTGATGGTGGTTTTCCTTGCTGTATCCCCTTTGCCGGGTTGTGGCGCTGTGGGAACCACCGCTTGAGACTTCATTTGGCTGCTGGCCGGGCTTTCTGCCTTTGGCTCGGAGGGGCTCAGAAGTTGAACATACCTGTGCCCCTTGGAAAATCCCTTATTTTGGCTGCTAATCCCTTATTTTCAAGGCTGCTGGTCCCTTATTTTCAAATCTGTAAGTTGACAGCTATGACGGTCAGGGGTACCTTTACCTTTAAGTGCCAGTTCTGCTGAGCTCACAGGCCAAGGCTCTTGCTGTTAGTGCCTAAGGCCTCGAGGCTTCAGGATAACTATTTGCCTTGCATAATCTGTTACTAGAAATTGGGATTTTTTTCTAGGGTGAGGGGAACAAAACAAGATTTGGAATTCTAAGGAATTTATCCCTGGCCAGCCTCAGGGGAAAGAACCAGCCCAAGCTACAAAAACCTGAGGCTCCTGCAGATGACCTGTTTTTTGAACATTCATCCTGATTTCTCTGCATAAAGCTTGCCTGGGGGTTAGGCTACATCCAGCCTTTACTGAACATTAGTTCTGATTTGTTTATGGGGTGGTTATAAAACAAAGAACAATTCACATTCATGCTATTTGCCTGCAGGGTGTTTATACAAATTCCTGTCAATTGCTCATTCATTTCAAGCTTTTCCTTGCATTTCTCTGTCACTTTCCTAGAAGTGTGTTTCTTTTTTTTTTTATGTGGGTTTGTTGCACTAGTGCAACAGAGTACTTTAATCCCCTTCAGTTGTGCAAACCTACATTTTTTTCCAGTACACGCTTTAATCTTGCAGGCAAAATGTCTGGCAGTCTGGAGGCACCTCCTGGTAATAATAGATCTGCTTTCCCTCCACATTCAAGGGTGTCGATTCCTGGCCACCATGGCGGAAAACAATTATAGCTGGTGGAAGCTGACTTTTCTCCGGAAAAAAAAATCCACCCCCAAAGTATTGTATGAAAGCCCAGATATCTACGATGTCACCAACAATGAGAACCAACAGGAGGGTATGCTTGCTGACGGGGGAAACAGCGGGAGCAGCGAGCGCGAATTCAACGCCCGGCTAGAGAAGATTGTGGACAAGAGCACCAAAGGCAAACACGTCAAAGTCTCTCATTCAGGGCGCTTCAAGGAAAAGAAGAAAGTAAGGGCCACGTTGTCGGAAAACCCCAATTTTTTTGCTGACAGCGAACGGGACGAGAAATAAGGAGGTGGATGAAAGAGAAACGTTCTCTTCACATGCCCTCATTTGAGGGTGTTTCTCTGGCCTGAGAGAAGCGTACGACACATGCATTTCAACCCATTTGCAAATGAAGTTTAACGAGGGACCAGCTGGGCTTTCGAGATTGGGTCCTGATTTTCACTTGAAAAGAAAAGTTTCAGAAGAAGATGAACTTTATTAATGTTAGTAGTCTTTTTTTTAATTTAAGGAATAAAGCTAATAGTATTTAAAATGCAAGACAGGAGAAGCCAGAGGAACAGCAGAGAATGTGTGGTGCAAGGAATATATTCAGAATTGCTTAACCAGTTACCCCTGGATACCATGAGGAACCCTATCATCCCAGTGGTGCTATCAGGGCAGGACTAGGGGTAAGGTTCAGGGCTCCAGTCAGCAAAATTACACTTACACACACACACACACACACACACACACACACACACACACACACTCTCTCAGTAGGGCTAGCTTACCATATTTTGAAGTTAAGAGAATACATATTTACTACCTATAGAGAAGTACCATTAAACCATAAAGTCTAGTTTCAAAAATTACCATAGTGTACCACCATGTGGCCCTCATAATTGGGGTGCAAGTCAAGGCAACATGTTTGCCACCCAAGATTAGCATCAGCACATGGCATCCTCAGGCAACAGCTGGGACCCCAGCACTCCAGCTGTGCCAATCAGCGCTGATGGCTGCCTCAGCCACTGTTTCTTTGGAGGTAGGTTTATCTGGTTGCAGTGGCTCAGTCTGAGAAGCTGCCCACCACTGAGAATTTCCCACAATGCCCCAGAACACTCAGTGTAGCAGAACTTTTTTGGGGGGATCACCAATCTTTTTTGGCCAGTAGACACATCTGGAATTTTGAGGAAGTGTCATGGACACAAGTCACAAAACTGGTGCTATGAGCTATGAGAGCATGCCATGCCTTCCAAAATACAGGCGCCCCATTCCATGATGATAATTTTGCTATTTATACCCCACACATCTTACTGGCATGCCCCAGCCACTATGGGCAGCTTCCAACATACAGTGGTACCTCGGTTTACGAACTTAATCCGTTCCTGAAGTCCGTTCTTAAATCAAATCTGTTCTTAAACCGAGGCACGCTTTCCCTAATGAAGCCTCCCACTGCCAGTGCCCTTCCACTGTTTGGCTTCCATTTGTAGACCGAGGTAAAGTTCACAAACCGGAACACTACTTCCGGTTTTGCGGAGTTTGTAAACTGAATAGTTCGTAAACAGGACTGTTCTTAAACCGAGGTATATAAAAAAACATAATAAAATATTAAAGAAACTTCCCTTTACAGATTGCCTTTGGATGGCTCAGGGGTCAGATAACTCCACTGCTTTTTTTCTGGGGGTACGCATACCCCTAAACATTTTGTAAATCTAAGTTTCGCCTCATTTAGGGGCAGTATTTCAATTACATAGGAAAATTAGAGTACCCCTAAACATTTTTTTAAAGAAAAAAAGCACTGGATAACTCCATACCCTCCAACATTTCTCCAATGAAAATAGGGACATTCTAAGGAAAAGTGGGACATTCCAGAATCAAATCAGAAACCAGGACGGCTTCTCTAAATCAGGGACGTCCCTGGAAAATAGGGACACTTGGAGGGCCTGGCATGGCATAACACAAAATGGCTGCTGTGGGGGCATGGCATAACAAAATGGCTACCACATCTAAACGAAAGAGACAGGAACACAAAATAGTGTCAGCGTGCCATCACATCAACTCCCCCTCCCAAATCAAAGAGGGAAAGGGAATGTGCAATTAATGCAGGAGAGAACAAGCAAGAGCAAACAGGAACTGGGTTGCAAGAGCAGTCTTTTTTGCATTGTGGATATGGGGGGTGGGCTCAAAAATTACTAAGACCTTTCATGGGCACCATAGAAAGTATTGGTGGCCACCCTAGAACCTCCAGGCATTGTGGGAAGTTTAAATGGTAGGTGGGTTCCCAGGTTAAGCTACTGGTACAATGTAATTTCATTGCTGAGGGGTGCCCAGGGGCTGCTCAGCAATGAAACCAGCCTTGTTGTCACCTCTTGAGTGCGGTGTGCCCTGCTAAAGGTGGAGATTCTAATCTGTCCTTGTATGGTGCCAGCCTCCACAATTGTGACCCACTGAGCTCAACAGACCCACAGGCATGCATTCTGGCGTGGCGGGCACGTGATTAACATCCCACTATGCCTATTTTGCAGTCGGGAATGCTGCAAAAACAGGTTTATCGAGGACCACCAGATAAGGCTGGAGGGCTGTGTATTCAGTGATGGGCCACAGTTTGCGCAGGTTTGATCCAATGGATATTCTGGAGTCAGCAATCCATAATAATAATAATAATAATAATAATAATAATAATAATAGAAACTGTGGACATGCCCTTGCTCAGAAGCCTTAACATTCCTCCAAGGGATGAACTATCCAGCTACAATGCGTCACATAAGCCCTACATGAAACCGTTCCCTTTTCCATCTACTCAGACTGCAAAATGGGCATTTCTCTCACCATTGTCTGTGACTTTATGTTTTTCCTCCCTCCACTGTGCAGCATTAGGGATGTTTATAAAGAAAAGCCTGCTTTAGCATGGAGCTGCAACCCTAGTAACATGCATTTTGTTTTATGACTGATCTATGCGGGGATCAAATGGTCATTTCTCTCCAGCTCAAACTGAACAGTAAACCTCATGGCAGGGGTGAGGATCCCTCAGGCTTGGGTGCAAAATGTCGCCCTCCGGGCCTCTTTATCTCACATTTTGAACTCTCCCCAAGTCACACCCCTCTCTGCCCTGGTGACACCCAGCACACCAGCCCTGCTCCACACCCTCTCTGAGTGCCTTTGCCTGACTGGAACGTATCTCCGAACTGTAATAACACCTCTTGCTTGCCTTGATGAAGGAAGAGGAAATGTTTGTGTATATGTGAGTGGAAACCTCTGATCTTTGTGTTGCTGGAATGTAACCTAGCGTACAAAGTGGCCTACCCACTTTTGCCTATGGCCAGTGGCGTAGCGTGGGTTGTCAGCACCCGGGGCAAGGCAAGTAATTTGCGCCCCCTAACCCGTGGATTTGCCCTAACCCCAGATGTTGCGCCCGGTGCGGCCGGCCCCCCCTGCACCCCCCACGCTACGCTACTGCCTATGGCTACACCCATTACTGATGTGTGGCCACCCACTAGGTTCTCCTAGCAGCGGTTCTCAACATGTGGGTCCCCAGATGTTGTTGGACTACAACTCTCATCATCCCTGAGCTCTGGCCATGCTAGCTAGGGGTGATGGGAGTTGTAGTTCAACAACATCTGGGGGCCCACAGGTTGAGAAAGGCTATAAGAGGGAATGTGTCCCTCAGGGTGAAGTAAGTTCCTTATCCCTGCCCTAGAGACCTTCCTTTTAACAGTGTGGAATGTCTCACTAGCTTGAGTCGTCAGAAGCTGTTTTTCTTATTTTCTTAGTTGTCCACCTGCATTATATACCACATTTTGGGGCGCAACTGCTTCTTCAAGGCAGGTTACAAAATTTGAAAAAGTGCATTAATGATAAAAAAAAATTTTAAAAAAATGTCCAATTAAAACGACACACTCCTTAAAATTGAACAATAGGAAGTGAAAACGTCAACGCCGATCAATAAAAAAATGAAGTGATTAATAAAAAGTAGATTGGAATAAAAATGGGTTTGTTTCTTTAAAATTTCCAAAGATGGGGTCCTAAGAGAGAGTTCCAGAAGAGCAAAGCCTGTGACAAAAAGATCCTGCCTCTGGTACCAGCCACTTCTGTGCGCATGTATGTGCAGGACTTGTTTGGGGGATACACAGGGAGAGACTGTTTGGTTCATATTTACTTCATAGCCTGAAATCCAAGTTCAAGGGTCCTTGCTCAAAGTGTCACCTAAATGCCAGCAAACATCCAATTCAATCCAAACCATATTAACTCAGGTTCATTACACTGGAGGAAAGGACTTCTGAAAATTGATGGCAACGCACATTGAATTCAAGGTTGTCCTTTTCCCACATTCAGTTCAGTTGCCTCCAGTCAGTCCCTGCCAAGGCTGTCTGGTAAGTCAGGTGAACACTTGCTGTGAAGAACTGTATTAATAACTCACCTATCAACCTCAGTTGATACTCATAAAAACCTACTGTTCTGCTGAACTTTGCACACCAGTTTCATTGAACTTCATCACAGTTTGTCTTCCTAACGGGCAAGAATTACTTGCTGCAAAAAACTTGTCCCCACCGTTGCCCCATATATATTGGGTTTCAAAAGGAGAAACTTCCCCCACCCTCACCCATCTCAATAGAAAGCATTAGGCCACATTTGCAACATACATTGGGCTTCCCCCAAAGAATTCTGGGGGCTATCATTCGTTAAAGGTTCTGAGAGTTGGTAAAGGTAAAGGTAAAGGGACCCCCCACCATTAGGTCCAGTTGTGGCTGACTCTGGGGTTGCGGCGCTCATCTCGCTTTATTGGCCGAGGGAGCCGGCATTTATCCGCAGACAGCTTCTGGGTCATGTGGCCAGCATGACTAATCTGCTTCTGGCGAACCAGAGCAGCGCACGGAAACGCCGTTTACCTTCCCGCCAGAGCGGTACCTATTTATCTACTTGCAATTTGAACTGCTAGGTTGGCAGGAGCAGGGAACGAACAACGAGAGCTCACCCCGTTGCGGGGATCTGAATCGCCGACCTTTTGATAGGCAAGCCCTAGGCTCTGTGGTTTAACCCACAGTGCCACCCGTGTCCCTGAGAGTTGTTAGGAAACCCTTAATCCCCTTCCAGATCTACAATTCCCAGAGTTCCCTGTGAAGAGGGATTGACTGTTAAACCACACTGGGAATTGTAGTTAATTATAGTGATGAGATTGTCTCTGAGCTTACACAGAGTGTCTCCCTAGTAAGTAGTTGCATGCAAACATGCATGCATGTTTATATGATTTAAGGGAAGGGTTGACTTTACATGATTAAGACCTACAGCTAGGTTTTGACTACCTGTTTTGAGCCACTATGTTAGCTGCCTTCTCTCCCCGATCACCTTTCATATCATCAGCCCCCAGACCTATCTATCCTCCCCCCCCCCCAGTTCCTCTGTCTTCTTTCTCCCACTGACCTTTCATATTATTTAAAGTGGCCGGACTGTTTCCCACCGTTCTATGATATAGCCTTCTCTTTAATTAATTTGTGATTATTCTGTGACATCGCAGCAGCACACCCAATGGCAGGGGTGAGAGACGAGTTGTTTCCATGGTCAGCTCATCCTTATACCTTGATCTCCCAGTGCTATCAAAAGAGTGTAGTAGGTCAGTTCATCCTGGGACAAAAGAACTTACTGTGTTCTGTTTTGATAATAGATTCTAAGGACAGTGTCAGCTGCAGGAAATACAATCCCCTTTGGGCAGATTGGGGCAGGGTTGTACATCCAAGAATTCAATACAGAGCACGTCCATACAATAGCCTTTCTTTACACTGAAATGTCCGTTTTATTTCTGTTTAGTTTCAAATATGACCCCACCCAGCTGTGTGTGTGTGTGCTTCAAACAGGTTCTTTATGAAGCTATTTCTGCTTTAGAGGCTACAAAAAGGTCTATTCAGTTACGTCCAGATGCATCTTCAACCCCCTCCATTTACCTTTATTTCCTCTTTGTATTAAGGGCACAAAAAATACAAGGAGAAATGAACAGAGAGGTTTTGTCTTATTTACAGCCTTTGTTTATAGCAGAAAGATATTCAACTAATGTATAAGGAAAACTCCCTCAGACCTCCACAGCCAATCACAGTAGGAGTTACCTCAGCAAATATCATGCTATTCAGACTGGTTGCTAGGCAAAATCTCCCCAACCAACACCCTCTTGGTTGGCTGGCTAACTGTAAACAGAATTAACCATTCGGTTACTAAATGAATGATCCCTGATGCACTTCCAACAAGAGGTGTGCATGGGTACTGCTCTCCCAACAACAGGAATGGCAGCATCAGGGATAGAAGGCACAACTCTGACTGATAAACCCTTCTAGCCCCATATCTCTTTAAGTGGCCATCTGGAAGTGAAAGGCACTCACCTTGTGCT